GTAAAAGAGGAGAGCGCAAAACTGGGCTTGAAGCTCAACATAAAAAAAACTAAGATCATGGCATCCGGTCCCATCACTCCTTGGCAAATAGAAGGGGAAGTCGTGGAAGTAGTGACAGACTTCACGTTCCTGGGATCCCAGATCACCGCAGACTGTGACAGCAGCCATGAAATTAAAAGACGCCTGCTCCCTGGGAGGAAAGCGATGGCGAACCTAAACAGCATGATAAAAAGTAGAGACATCACCCTGCCAACAAAAGTCCACATGGTCAAAGCAATGGTATTCCCAATAGTCATGTATGGCTGCGAGAGTTGGACTATAAGGAAGGCCGAGTGCTGAAGAATAGATTCTTTTGAACTATGGTGCTGGAGAAGACTCTTGAGAGTCCCTTGGACTGCAAGAAGATCAAATCAGTCAATCCTAAAAGAAATCAACCCTGACTGTTCCCTGGAAGGCCAGATAATGAAACTGAAGCTCAAATACTTTGGCCACCAAATGAGAAGGGAGCACTCACTGGAGAAGAGCCTGATGCTGGGAAAGATTGAAGGTTAAAGAAGATGGGGATGCCAAAGGATGAGATGGTTAGACAGTGTCATAGATGCAACGAACATGAAACTGAGCAAACTTCAAAGGATGGTGGAAGACAGGAGGGCCTGGCGGGAGCTGGTCGATGGGGTCGCGAAGAGTCGGACTCGACTGTGCGACTGAACAACAACAAATGTTATAAATATTTTATGATATATTGTTCTAGTCTGAAGTCCAACTGTTCATAGTTAAATTTCCTGTGAAAACAATTTTTAACCTGGTTCAGAAGTGTATTTTGTTTGGCTAGGGAAATGCCATTAACTAGCAATTACCAGTTCAGTTCTCCTTTTTTCTGCACTGTGTAGACTGTTTCATTTTTCACACTTTTACAAAATCAAAAGGATCAGCTCTCACACTAGATGCCGCAGCTGCAACATATAGCAGAGTACAGTACAGAAGCTGTCCAATGACGTAACTGCCATTTACTTTATATGAAGTTTGCAAAACAGTTTCAGAATGAAGGGACAAATGAGGAACTGTGGAGCTTTATGAAGATGGGCTGTTCTAAAAGGGGTAAGGCATCCATTCACTAGTTCCATGGAAATGCAATTGTGTAATAAAGATAAGCCTTTAAAATGGGATGCATGCTTAAAAAACAAACAAAAAAGGAGAGTCATCTGGCACCCCTGTACAAAAAATGTCATTAATACACGAGGCAAGTCATTGGGAGATGGAGAAACTTTGCAGCTGTTTCATTAATGAAAAGACATTCGTTAATTATGCCAGAATCCATCTGTGCAATTTCCCCCCTGAATTCTGTTGTACCTTCTTTTAGCAGCTTATTTTCAGAGGATATTGCAGGTTCTCAAGTTCTTCCACTCTGTAATCCAAGACCTACATTATCCAGCAAGAAGCACTGCTAACCACTTAACTCATCATGGGTCCTACTCTAATATCATGCTCACATGAGAGATAATTATGTGGACGTGTTAATGGACTTTTCCTTCCTCCCTCTACATTCTGACACAACACTTGCAAATACTTTGGAAATTGTCTTGTTTGAACTGGAACTCAAAGCAACTTACTTTTCTTTATTTCAGCCCCTGAACTTATAGTATTCAAACAAGCAGAATAATAAAGGAAGTGTTATGAACCCTCACAGGTCAGCAGACACTAGGTAGTGTGCCATTCATCCTAACAGCTAACATTATAAAAGTGGTGCAGCCCTACTTTTTTTGGATGGCTGACAGGAAAAACAAGTAAGCTACCAATAAATAAAAAGGCTACAAAGAAAAGAAAGCCACCTGCATTTTACAAATGTGGACTTCTGATTACTGTGATAAGAGGACAAACACAACAATCCTGAGCTCTAATATGGCATTTTTAAAAATTTATTAAAGGGTGTTTTATAAACTGGACACTTGTACATTTAGAATAAATGTTTCAATGATAAGGGCTTATGTGAGTTTTTAAAAAAATCCTATAGCTCATGCTTACACAATTCATGACGCAGACTAAACTGACTGCATATCGGAAGGCATGCACTGTGGCCTGCCAGCAGTTTGAACCCCTCCTCCATTTTCCTCCCAGATCCAAGAAAGGTCCAAAATACACAAAGCTTGTGGAGCAATCCTAAGTAGGCCTACTTAGAAGTAAGTCCCATGTTATGTAATGTTTTTTGCTCCTAGGGAAGTGCAGACAGGATTGCAGCTGTATTGAACCTCATCTGGCAACCATGCTGGTGGACTTCATGTTGGCTTAGCAGGTCAAAACTTTGTACAGGTCTGCTATAGCCAAATTCCCCCCTTCTCCTCTATAAAGTAGAAGGAAAATTAACAGAAATTATTGTCAAAGTCAAAAGTTTTATCTAGTGAGATTTCACTGTGTGTGTAAATATTAAGACTTATCATGAAAACCTCAAAAATGTATTCCAAGTTAACTTTCTTGTATGCTTTACTAGTGTCAAACAACGTAACTCACCCAAAGAAGGCATAAGTCTCTCAAGATACTCTTTGTCTTCCAGACTATACACAGTAGAAATGACCTTGGCTCCTCTATGTTGTGCTAACTGAATAGCTATTGTACCAAAGGGCTGCAGGAGAAAAAACATTTTTTTAAAAAACACACACTCACACTGAACATGTACACAAACTATCTGGGTCTAGGCCCCGACTTGACCCCCCCCCAGCGAGCGGCAGATGGTGGGGAGCATAGAAAGACCTTATAGATAAACAGTTGACAGGCCCAGTGGGGGAGACCATGGAGGAAGCAGAAGGCAGCCTACACCTGAGGCATGACTTCACTGACTGGCTTACTGAAGGGGCCACAGCCCCTTTGGCGGCAGCAACAACACCAGCAGAAGGAGGAAGAGAGTTGGGGAAGCTAACCGCCCACATAGGCCCAGGGGAATGAGAGCCTGCAGGTAGGCTGAGCCCAGAGGAAAGACAGGGAAAGGTGTCTTCCAGCCCTAAGCAACAGGAAGAAGCAGAGGGGGACTGGCAGTTTGGAGAGCACGTAACTGACCACCTCCCTTTATCAATTCCAGAGGAAGGTGGAGCCAGGGCTGGACCGGACCCAGGAAAGGGGTGGGCAGGCTACGAGTCAGATAAAAGGGAGGCTTCCAAGCCAGGCTGGGGAGGAAAGAAGGCTGAGTACATGTGACCCAGGAGAAAGAGTGAGTGAGTGAACCAGTTAAGGGAAGGAATAGGCCCATCCAGATGCTTGGTAATGTACTTGGCCTTCTTTCTGGGAAATTCAAACCAAACCAGGTTGAAAAAGAATGGACTGGAGGCAGGGAAAACCTGTAAAGTGGATGACTAGAGAATGATTTTGTATGGATGTTCAAAAATAAAAATAAAAATCCACTATAGTTTGGAAGCCAAGGTGGAGAAACACCTCCATATGTATTAAGCCTTTAATAAACCATGGATTATGGGGAGGGTATCCAGTGATAGTGAATTATGAAAAATTTCATCCCTTTTCTGGAACTCCTGGAGGAAAAACAAATATGGTTTCATGGTATTCCAACATACCTATTCTAGCGAGACAAGTGTACACTGAACGAACATTTAAGAAAAATAAAATAACTGTTCCCAAAGCAATCTTCATGGCATTTCATTAAACAGTATTTTTGTTACCTACACTTGCTCCATCCATTATAAGCACAGTTTTTTCAGGAGAGACGTGGGAAAGGTAGTGTAGAGCTGTGTATGCACGAACACCATCACGAATGGTCCCCACTGCTTTAGGCCAGGAGACCTTTTCAGGTTTATGAACTGTTTCATAAGGGAAAATGAGGGAAAGAAGAAGAGTTGGTTTTTATACTCTGCTTTTCTCTACCCTGAGGAGTCTCAAATTGGCTTACAAGAGCCTTCTCTTTCTCTCCCCACAACAGCCCCCTTGTGAAGCAGGTGGGTCTGAGAGAGTTCTGAGAGAACTGTGACTGGCCAAGGATCACCCAGGAGGTTTCATGTGGAGGAGTAGGTAATCAAACCTGGTTCTCCAGATAAGAGTCCACCACTCTTAACCGCTACACCATGCTGGAAAGAATAACACACATATCGGAACAAGTTTTAAACTAACGTTTAAGCTTGCTCTAGTTGTTTTCTAACACCCATTTTGACATAAAATGTTTAATTTGCTGTTTCTTGGGAATCAGTTAATTAAAGTGGACGGGAATAGGCGAATTTAACTCAGAGGACCATTATATCTACTACTGTGGCCACGAATCCCGTAGAAAAAATGGTGTGACATTTATAGTCAACAAGAGAGTGAGAAAGGCAGTAATGGGATACAATCTCAGAAACGACCGAATGATCTCGGTCCAAATCCAAAGCAAACCATTCAACATCACAGTAATCCAAGTCTATGCCCCAACTACTGATGCAGAGGAGGCTGAAGTGGACTGGTTCTATTTAGACCTACAACACCTCATAGAACTAACACCAAAAAAAGATGTCCTTATCATCATAGGAGACTGGAATGCTACACATGGACATCACCAGATTAGCAACATCGAAATCAGACTGATTATATAATTTGTAGTCAAAGATGGAGAAGCTCTATACAGTCAGTAACAACAAGACCTGGAGCTGACTGTGGCTCAGATCATGAGTTACTCATTGCAAAATTCAGGCTTAAACTGAAGAAAGTTGGGAAAACCACTAGACCATTCTGGTTTGACCTAGATCACATCCCTGATTAATATACAGTGGAGGTGAAGAATAGGTTTAAGGGACTAGATTTGATAGACAGAGTGCCTGAAGAACTATGGATGTAAGTTCGTGACATTGTACAGGAGGCAGCAATCAGCACCATCCCAAAGAAAAAGAAAAAGAAATAGTGAAGTGGCTGTCTGATGAGGCATTACAAATAGCTGAGGAAAGAAGGAAAGCAAAAGGCAAAGGTGAAAAGGAAAGATTTACCCAACTGAATGCAGATTTCCAGAGAACAGCAAGGAGAGATAAGGAGGCTTTCCTGAATGAACACTGCAAAGTAATAGAGGAAAACAACAGAATGGGAAGCACTAGAGATCTCTTCAAGAAAATTGGAAAAATCAAGGGAACGTTTCGTGCAAAGCTGGCCATGATATAGGACAAAAATGGTAGGGACCTAAAAGAAGCAGAAGAGATTAGGAAGAGGTGCCAAGAATACACAGAAGAACTATACAAGAAGGATCTCAATCCCCGATGGTGTGCTCGCTGACCGTGAGCCAGACATCCTGGAGTGCGAAGTCAAATGGGCCTTAGAAAGCATTAGTAACAACAAAGCTAGCAGAGATAACAGTATTCCAGTTGAGCTATTCAAAGTCCTAAAAGATGATGCTGTTAAGGTGCTGCACTCAATATGCCAGCAAATTTGGCAAATGCAACAGTGGCCACAGAACTGGAAAAAGTCAGTTTATTAAATTGAAAGCACTGCAAGATTTTAAAGAAAATGCTGGTTTTGATCTACCAGATTGGAGGACATATTATAGAGCATCCTGCGTGGTTTGGATGAGAGATTGGATTTTGCTTGAAAATCAAAGACTTTTAGCCCTAGAAGGGCATGATTAAAGATAGGATGGCATGCTTTTGTTTGGTATGGGAAAGCAGCTGGGCATAAATACTTTAAAAATCATTTTATAAGAAAATCCTTTTTATCAACTTGGGAAAAGATTCTACCATTGGTACATTCTAAAATTCCAAGATGGGTCTCACCCCTTGAAGCCTTTTCACAACCAAGCTTAATCTCACTGGACAAAATACTCAGATATGAAGATCTTTTAGATGATAAAGGATGCTTAAAAACAAAGGAAGAATTAACAAGGAAAGGTGATATTCTAAATTGGTGGGTAAGGGCTCAAATTGAGTCTAGATATGCTAAAGATAGAAAATCTGGTTTTTATTTAGAACAATGTGCATTTGAAAAATTGTTATGTACATCTAATGGTAATGATAATCAAGAAAATGTGTGTATTTTTAATGCAAATTAAAATGGAGGATGAAGTGATTAAAGATTGTATGATCAAATGGATGCAAAATCTAGGTTATAATATTGATCTTGCACAATGGAGTAAACTGTGGAAAGTGGATGTGAAAATGACCAAATCAGTTGCATTTAAAAATAATCTGCATAAGATGTTTTATAGATGGTACTTAACACCAGATAGACTGGCTAAAATGTATAAAAACATGTCTAATAGTTGCTGGAAGTGTAAAAAACATGTAGGTACATTTAGCATATGTGGTGGACATGTGAAACTGTACATGTTTTGGGTTATGGTGCATACATTTATACAGGCGGTTTTGCAAGCTTCATTACCCTTTTGACCAGAACTATTTTTACTGAATTGTATACCAGATGAGTTTGATAAAAATCAAAGATATTTTACAATCCATGTGGTAACAGCAGCTAGAGTCTTATATGCAACTTTTTGGAAACTTCCAACAATACCCTCAGAACAAGACCTAATAATGGCGACCATGGAAAGTGAGGAAATGGACAAACTCACTTTGATTTTAAAAGGGCAAATGGAAGAAGACTTTGTTGGACTATGGACTCTTTTTTACGACTGAATGAGAAAGAAATATAAAGATATGATTTCTTTGATATAATATGTAGTAGCCTGTATGAACTTCTAAAATTTCCACATCTCTTAGAAGTCTGATATGATACGTGAAGAAGAGTTACATGCAGAAGACTTATTATTTTGTTTTTCTCTTTTGCCTCACCCCTGTATACCTTAAAACCTAATAAAGTGTACTTAAAAAAAAAAGAAAAGGTCAGTTTACATTCCAATCCCAAAGAAGGGCAATGCCGTGGAATGTTCAAGTTATTATACAATTGCACTCATTTCACATGCTAGCCAAGGTCATGCTCAAGATCCTACAAGTTAGACTTCAGCACTACGTGGATAGAGTACTGCCAGAAGTACAAGCTGGGTTTCGAAGAGGTAGAGGAACTAGAGATCAAATTGCCAACATTCGCTGGATTATGGAAAAAGCAAGGGAGTACCAGAAAAACATCTACTTTTGCTTCATTGACTATGCTAAAGCCTTTGATTGTGTGGATCACAACAAACTGTGGCAAGTCCTTAAAGAGATGAGAGTACCAGACCACCTCACATGTCTCCGGAGAAGCCTGTATAAGGGTCAAGAAGTGACAGTTAGAGCTGGACACGGAACAACTGATTGGTTTAGAATAGGAAAAGGACTATGACAAGGATGTATACTGTCACCCTGCTTATTTAATTTATATGCAGAGTACATCATTCGAAATGCTGGCCTGGATGAATCACAAGATGGACTAAGATTGCCGGGAAAAACACCAACAACCTCAGATATGCAGACGATAGCACTCTAATGGCAGAAAGTGAAGAGGACTTAAAGAGCCTCTTGCTGAGGGTCAAAGAGGAGAGCATAAAAGTTGGCTTGAAACTCAACATAAAAAAACCATGGCATCCAGCCCCATTACTCCTTGGAAAACAGAAGGGGAAGTCATGGAAGCAGTGACAGACTTCACATTCCTGGGATCCAAGATCACTGCAGACAGTGACTGTACCAATAAAATTAAAAGATGCCTGCTCCTTCAGAGGAAAGCTATGGCAAACCTAGACAGCATAATAAAAAGTAAAGACATCACCCTGCAAACAAAAGTCCGCATAGACAATGTGATGGTATTCCCAGTAGTAATGTATGGCTGTGAGAGTTGGACCATAAGGAAGGCTGAGCACCGAAGAATAGATGTGTTTGAATTATGGTGCTGGAGAAGACTCTTGACAGTCCCTGGGACTGCAAGGAGATCAAATCAGTCAATCCTAAATGAAATCAACCCTGACTGTTCCCTGGAAGGACAGATACTGAAGCTGAAGCTCAAATACTTTGGCCACCAAATGAGAAGGGAGCACTCACTGGAGAAGACCCTGATACTGGGAAAGATCAAAGGTAAAAGAAGACGGGGACAGCAAAGGATGAGATGGTTAGACAGTGTTATTGATGCAACAAACATGAAATTGAGCAAATTCCAGAGGATGGTGGAAGACAGGCCTGGCATGATGTGGTCCATGGGGTCACAAAGAGTCAGACTTGACTGTGCGACTGAACAACAACAAAAGAGCAATATCTTGTCTATTACAAAAATAATAATTGACGAGTTGTCCAGTGATGTTTTTCAAGAGAAAACTAAATAAAACATTTTGCAAATTTGCCAGGTTTCTTTAAGCTAGCAACTTTATTAGCGGATATGTATGTTCTTTCTTTAAAATTATTCAATAGCAAACGTTCAGTTATTTTGTAGCATTTTTTTTAAAGAGTGTGATGACTGATTTTATAATCAAAAGTAAAAACCAGGATATCAGAATTTAGAAAAATAAGTACTGTAAAGTGGTTTGTAAAATAATTGTAAGTATTTTATAGTCAAACAGCTTCTTCCACAACTATGGCAGAGTTCAAAAGATGTATGTTGAGCCACTGTATGGTGTAGCATAATAACGGCTTTGAATAATGAGAATCCCAAGGCTCATTGAGGTTTGGCAGCAATTATTCCAAACCAACAAACTAAGGATTTGATGTAATAAAGCCATATAGACAGGAAAATCTGATTCTGATTCTAATTAAATGATATCCAGGCTGCCTAACAGCCAACTTTTGTTACTAAACAAAAAAAGATTGTGGTAGTAAAATGGGGGCAGGGAGACACATGCCGTCTGCACAGTATTCAAAACATCAATGAAAGAGCACTCAGTTCAAGACTTGTAACATTATAATGAATATCTGTTTCCTTTCCACATCCATTGGTGCAGTGGTATAGTTCAGTCAGTTAACTTAAGCACTCTTAACTCTAAAACAAGCCTGATTGTGTTTGTTGGGCGAGGATCAAATTGATGCTGGCAAGTATTATACAGGCTTGTCGTTCCTGGAATGCTTTAAATAAATATTGCTTTCTTCATCCAACCTTCCATTCCCCTCCCTTCCTTTTCTCTGTCACTTCAAGTTTCATATAAACTGTATAGTTCTATGCAGAGTTATTCCAGTCTTAAGTCTACTGAAATCAACTCTGCATAGGATTACACTGTAAATTACTGAAAAACCTACATCTTGATAGCATAGCAATGTGAATTGAGGCAAACTGATTTCCATATGGTGTGGAGCACACACAAATATTTGTATAATTAATCCCAACATTGTTCCCTAGTCATTTATTAAAGACCACACAACGGAGTTTCAGAACTATTACACTAGGGCAGAATTAAATTAGAGTGTGTTGCTGGCAGACTTTTAAAGCAACATTTCAGCTTCCTGGGTTTTTGATATCTGGCAGAAATTTTTATAAACTTTAATAAAGGTGGATGTAAAGAGACCCTCATCTAAAAGGCCTCCTTATTTTTTATATTTTGAACTATTTCTGAAACAAAAGGAACAAAGCATCCTTCATTATAGTGCCCCTGAAGATCACCAATCTTCACTGAACAGTATTTGCGTTTGTATAAGATGGCATGAGAGCACTGTCTATGGTGATTAATCAGTGTGGCTCAGTCACACATGCCCGTCATTACTTGACTCTAGTGTCAACTAGGCTTGCCATGTGCCTACTGGCTACAAGAGAACTCCCACCCACAGCTCCCATTGCACACTGGCACTCTGGTGGGAACACCTTCTAGCAATGGCATCATACCACTTCCAGGGGAAACCCAGAGGTGATGTCATGTTGCTCCATGAATCACTGGAAACACTATAGTTTTATCACAGGATTTCTGGCAATTTCTAGAGAGGTATGATGTCATTTTCAGGTTTCCCCCGGATGTAACATAACACCATCACTCTACAGTACCTCCCAATATCCCTGCCCCCCTGGATTCCTGCTTGGCCAGCCACTGGCTAGAAACTCTATTGTCAACTAGTGATGAATATATACACAGATAACTGCCAGTTATAAAGGTCGATTTGGAGCTTCTTTTAAGCTGTGAGCAAGGAATTATAAGTAGGAAGAACTTTAGGCTCTTGCCTGACAGCCTATATGTACTTTAGCCTACAATTTTAATTATACATTATTTGCTTACATTCAGTTTGTGAAGAACAGCTTACAAAAATGTCAGTGTTCTTGGACAGCTGCTCATAAATAGATAAATGCTCTAATCCAATGGGAACTTTTAAGGTATGAGGAAGGGCATTCATAAGCAAAGCCAGACTTTCAACAATATTTTACTAATGGTGGCCTTCTCCCCACTGACCTAAAAACAAAACAAAACTGTGATACAGTTGAGAGCGCCTGCTGTTGGGAAAACAAAGGCCTGCTGGGCACCCTTAGGAACACCAGAGTGTGCAGTTTGCACTGGAAGGGGGAAAACTGCAAAATGACTTTTGGTCTATTAAAACCAGTAACTATTATTTCAGAACAAACACAACTGAATATAGAGAACAAGCACAGTGTGGAAAGGACTGCAGATCATCACTTAGATTTGCCTGATGACAAAAGCAGTTTAATGACAGAATTTGGGGGGAGGAGGATGACAATGGAATTCCAAATCCAACTCCCCACTGAGTAAAAAACCAATAACTTAAAAACTGAAGAATGCAACCCCACATCAAGTAAGTGAGATATTGGTATTATATCATGCTGTTTCCCTCCCTCTGCTTTCTGATCTTTTGGATTTGCCCAGTGGTCCCCCCCCCTTTAGTATGTAAATAATTCCTTCAAAAGTAAAACAAAGACACCCTAGAAAAAATATGACAGTTGAAAGCTCAAAAAAGGGTGAACACTGCTTTAAAAACTGCTTGTTTGAGAAGATTCAGGGTCAGTCAGGAAGACAGAGTGAAGCAAGAAGAGAAGACACAGAAGAGAAGTAAAAGAGATGAGTCAGCTCTTGTGGTTTCTCTTGGAAAGTTAACTCATAGACTAGTAATGTACTGCTACTATTGTTCAGAAAAAGCTTGATTACACAGAATTTAAAACTTCAGTTTAAGACAATGTGCATCTGCGGGCACTTAGCCATTGTACTTAAGTAGCATGTTTTTAAACTGTCAATTAGGCCTTTGTACCCAGAAAACTGAATTGTTAGCTAGTAGGAGATACATACCTAAATAATGCTCATGAATGACAATAACTTCACACAAACCAGACTCTTCTGAATCCAGAGGCAAAATTCCTGTGAAAACAAAACCATACTATTCAAGCCATATGGAACAAGTATCACATTTCCAAACAGAATCATTAGCCAAACAAATCACTATTAGCTTATGTCCATTCAACATAATGCAACTGCAAGAGATAAAAGCTGGCAACATCAGCATTCTTTGTCTACGTATCCCTTCCTATGGTTGATAACAGATGGGGCCATTCTACTTTTTATGAACACACATTTTACAAAAAAAAGATTTTTAAAATAAACTTTAACTACAGAATAATGGTTATGGAGCTAAATATTAGAAGAGAAGAAGAGATTGGTTTTATGCCCCGACCTTCACTTGGCGTTTCAGAGTGACTTACAAACTCCTTTCCCTTCCCCTCCCCACAACAGTGAGGTAGGTGGGGCTGAAAGAGCTCTGACAGAAACTGCTCTTTTCAAGAACACCTCTGACAGAACACTATGGCTTGCCCAAGGTCATCCAGCAGCTGTGAGTGGAGGAGTGGGGAATCAAACCTGGTTCTCCTAGATTAGAGTCCTTGCAGTTAACCGCTACACCAAACTGGCTTATTAATGAAACAACAACTACTTGCAAGCTTCTCACAGGCTTCCCTTTGGACAGCTACAGCCCACCCATTTCTGATGGGACAGGGGGAGCTATTTATCACTGTTTGTGCTCCATTTCCCATGTTCTTTCACTCCTTCCTCTCCACTTCTCTTAATACTTCTTTAAATAAGAACAGGAATGAGCAGATCTGGCCTGGGCAGACACCGTCACTCTTCATGGCACCCTTCTCTAGCAAAGGAAACAGCCTTGGACTTTTTAAAAAAATCTGGCACCATTAAAAATATTTTCTGTTCTTTTGTAGCCTCTCTGAGGATAACAGCTAAGGAAAATGGTCACACAGTTCTGCCCAGGAGCCAGTTAAGAAGCATCAATATATGTAATTCTCAACATGGACACATCTAAGGATACTTAAATCCTTTTCAGGACTTTAAAGGAGCACTTATAGAGGCAAGGCCTCAAAACAACTGCCAGGCAACTTGCTACCATGTGACCTGAATGATTAACCCAGTACTGTTCAACAGCAGCCACCTCATGAAAAGTCAGTGTGACACAGTGGTTAGGTTTTCAAGTTCAAATCACCACTCTGCCATGGAAACTTACTGGGTGACCTTGAGCCAGTGATATATTCTCAGACTAAATTGCATCACAGGGCTGTTATGATGATAAAATGGAGGATAGAAGAATGGTACAAGCTGCTTTGGGTCCCCACTGGGGAGAAAGGTGGGGTATAAATAAAGTAAATAAATATGGCTGAAGATGGGAAACATATTAAAGGTAGGTTGGCTGGTGGATGGGAGGGAGAGAAACAAACAAGGAAGGATGAGGATATGGAGGTTTCCAGGAAGACGGTCAGAGGAAATTGTGTGAGGAAGGGGATACAGAGGAAAATGAGGTGCTCCCCCAGAAGTCCTTGCAGGTTCAGAACCACACAACTGGGCCATAGTTCCCTCAGGTAGACGTTGCCAAGGGGAGTGAAACAGGAAACACTGAAAACTGGGGTGGGCAGACCAAAGGAGGAGGAGGAGGAGGTTGGATTTTTACCCCGCCCTTCACTTGGGAGTCTCAGAGCAGTTTACAATCTCCTTCCCTTCCTCTCCCTACAACAGACTCCCTGTGTGGTAGGTGGGGCTGAGAGAGCTCTGAGAGAACAGCTCTCAGTGAACTTTGACTGACCCAGCAGCTGCATGTGGAGGAGTGGGGAATCAAACCCAGTTCTCCAGATTAGAGTCCGCCGCTCTTAACCACGACACCAAACTTTTGGCGATGAGTGTGAAAGAGAAGGAAGCAGCAAAAAGGGAAAGACCATGAGGAATGTCAGGGAAGGGAAAGGAGAAATAGTGGTGAGGAGAAAATGAGAAGCCCCCAGCAAAGTGCTTGTGGGTCACCCACGTGCACCCTTTCTAATCCTCTCCCTGAGAGAGACTCCTGGGTGAACATTGGTTGAATCATTGATGACTGATAGGAATCACCTAAGCCCTGTGAGCTAGGATTTTCTAAAAGACAGAATGAGAGAAGACAGCTTTGTTTTATCCCAAGAACACTTGCAGGACTCTAAAGAACAGCTACCTGGGAAAGAATACTTGGGAAGTGCTTCAAGCCAAAAGGGTGGCAAAAGTTACCGATACCCCTCAGCTTCAACCATGCCCGCTATGAAGTGGAAATTTTTAATCCTGTGAGAATTTAATTGCCTAAATCAAGTTTGAAATTATGTATTTGTCCTCCACTCCTTTCCCTTTGAAGGTGGAGAACACTGTTCTCTTTACTGAAATAACAAGACCCTCACATTTGGAGGCTCCACTGGGATCTAAAAGAGTAAACTCCCACACCATCACCCTTTTATATGAGCAGAAAGAAAAAATGAGAAGGGGCCTTGTTAAATAGCTGGGGTCTGACAGAAATAAAACAGGCAGATAGAGAGGACCAATCTCTTCCCTACAACTCCCTATAAAACATTCAATTGTTGGCTCACAACAATCTGTCAACAGAAGGGACTGTGTGTGGGATTTTTGCCAATGCCCCTCTCCTGCTGCAGTCCCCACCCCCAGACTCACCCCTCATGTTGTTTCTGTGGCTCCCCTATCTCCTAGGAACAACGGTCTGGGGATTTCAGAGGGCTGCTGTGGGAGACAGGAAATTATCTGAAATCACTGTGTCACCTTGTGTAGCCAAATGTCAACATGAATCAGTCTGATCCAGCAGTCAGAATGCTGCAGTTGGATATGAAGATTAGATACAAATTTCCTGCTCAGCTATGAAGTTTGTTGGTATAGGACAAGTCTCTGTATCTGGGTGCATTGCTGTGAGACTAAAAATAATTGTTGGACTACTATGGAGGAAGAGTGGCATACAAATGTAACAAATAAATAATCCCTGTGAGCAGGGAGTTGGACTAGATGGCCTGTTTTGTCCCTTCCAACTCTGTGATTCTATGATTAGCGTCAAGAGCAAAATTTTCATTAGCTTCTAATGACTGAAATGTTTTGGAAGTCCTCCAAAACACTGAACAATATTTGAGAATGAAAACAAACATCCAGTGTTGAGGTCCTGATGCAGTTCTAAAATTTAAACATTTTAGTGAATTGCATAACACAGCAACACTTACCTACTACCTCATCATGTGGTTGAAAGAAGGACACTTTTTCCCCAACTTGAAGAAAACAACACAAAGGGAAAATAAGTTTCAGTTTAAACAAATTGTACTTTTTGAAAGAATCATATATACTAACAACGACTTACAATACAGTCCGCTGGCTATGATTCCTGGTCTTAAATAAACAGAAAGTGTGAGGTAGTGAGGGACAGTACTAAGATCCATGAAGGTGAAACAGAAAGAAAAATATTGGCAGAATTCTCTGAGATGGAGCTCAGTGTTCTCCCCCAATAGAAGGACAGTAGGTTAGTCATGTCCAGCAGCATATGCACTC